ACCTTTCTATAAATAATATTTATTTCTAAGGAAGTTAAACAACTATCTTGTTTATTGTGCTAGCTTTTAGTTCTGTGATTCCCCACCCCATACCTGTCTTATAAGATTTACTTCCCTGACATGTTTAGATGAAGTGTTTTCTAAAGCAGTATACACACATACACATGCCCACAACTGACCCTACCATTCACACTGGGGGAGATGCAAGAGTTAATGTCATTTATTCACAGCTCAGCTGCTTCTGAATTTCCTAGCACAACAATGTTACCCACTGCTATCCTTGTACTGCAGCCCTTTGCTTTTATGTGAAGGCATCTTGATAGCAGCTTTAAAATAATGAATCAAAAAGAAATGCTCCATGTGAGTGTAACTCATTTTAGAATGAGTCGATTATTAAGATTCATGGTGGGGCCCTAGCATTTTGTAACTAACATTAATACAGTAAAATTAGGTAGCACCTTTTGTGATTTTTCAAGGGGGTGTGCTTGTTTGTTAATGCATCCCATGTCCAGCCATTGCTTTATGCCAGCACTGGTGACAGTGCCACTTTGTCAGGCTGGAAAGACAGTCTCAGACTCAATAAGGAAACACTTTATCAAAGGGAATAAAAAATGGAAATGAGCTCATACCTGTGAACTAAGATTAAATTAGCCTTGAGAATTTAGAAGCAGCAGCTGCTCTTGCTATTACTTCTCAGGCAGCATTGTGGCCCTTTATATCTCATGCTATATTAATTCAACAAATGTTTATTTGAAACCTACTATGTGCAATGCATTAGGTGCTAATTCTGGTTATCCTAAGGTGCACAAAGATGAATGCACTTCCATGTGTGCTTTGAAAATGCCGAGGAAAAGAAATATCGCATGTACAGAATTACCTGTAATAGGAGAAAACAATGGTATACGCTATTGGAGAAGCAGAGATAAAATGTGCCAAGATTTCAGAGGAGGGGGAAATTGCTGTTTTAACTGAAGAACCAGGAGGATATTCATGAAGGAAATGGAAGTGGAACAGAACCTTGAAGAATGGTTAGGACTTGAACATACAGAACCGGGTTGAAATGGTTCCCGGAAGAGAGCTACACAAGCCAGCAGTAGGGGAGGGAAATTGGTGTGTAGGTATTGCCAAAGGGAATCTGGCTAAAATTTCAAGATCCCTGAAAGAGAGTAGTGAGTAGGAAGTTACACTGGGTCACAGTGCAGTGGTTTATGTTTAAGACTAAAGATTTTGGGCTTCAGCGCGAGGGAGAGCCTGAGGTTTTACAGATATAGGAATACCTATTCATTACAGTACATCAAGACAATTTATCTGGAAGCTATGCATATGTTGAATTGAAGAGGGCAGTAACCTGGGGTCGGAGATGGGCTAAAAGCCGTTTGGGGAGTCCTTGAGAATGCACTAAGAGGAGGCATGGCCACTGTGGCCACAGTAGTGGCCATGACATGGTGTATAAGTAGGTGTCAGGGATGCAGCATGGACTAAGTGTTGACAGTCCATTGAACATAAGGCAAAAAGAGGTGAACAGGAGTCAAAGACTTTTAAGAAGAAAAAAAAGAGTGGGTCTGATCAAGAAGACAAAGTCATGTTTGAGTCATTGAATTTGAAGTGTTGGCAAGAGTCAAAGACTAGAGACTCCAGGAAAACTTTTCAATGCACATTAGAAATTAAGATAAAAATGAAGCCAGAGCTGAAATTTTACTTACTTGGAATAATATAAACGGGGTAATAGTTTATGCATCTTTTGTTTTGAAGGAAGTTAGCAGAGAAGAGCATGACACAGGAATAGATACATGGAGAACACCTGCACTGAGAAGGTAGAAGGGGGAAGGAAGTCTTCCCCTCTCTGAAAAATCCCCTCAGAGGGAGTAGCAGGGGCAGCAGAGGTGAAGGGGCCAGGGCCAGGGGTGGGGGAGGTGTGATCAGAAAGGTGGACCAGTCTAGCAGAGGTCATTTGCTTGCACACTGGAAATCTTATCTTCAAAAGGAGGAAAGATCACTTAACTATGGATAAAATGTGTATTCCAGAGCAGAGTTCTTTATGTCTGTACTAAAAAGTTTCCTGCCATAACTTGCTCCACCATTCAGAGCTATACTGCTTCTAATTTCCTAACAGAAAATTTAAATCTTGCCCTGGAGAGAGCCCTCTCATAAACATGGGTGTTCTTTCCAGGAGACCTCTAGAAGCCTGAATACACTAGCAGTGAAGGAATCTCTTTCCCCCAGTAAGGGGACACCGCAGAGCTGTAGGTCCATTAAATGCTGCTGCTTTCTGCGTCTGAACCATCTGCTCTAGGCCAGGAGTTCCTAACTTAACAACAGTCAATATCCTGGCCAGTGAATGCAATGTTTTGTTATCCATGTGAGTACATTTTCTGAAGAGATGAATGTCCCTACTCCTGGTTTTTGAAAGACTCTCTTTTCTTAAAAGATAAGAACCACTGTAATAGGTCATACACTCTTGCACAGTGAGATCCTTAAGGACAAGAGTCTGTCCTTATAAATTTTTATATCTCCATGGTACCTCTATCAGTCTTGGCTGAATGAATGGCTAATAGTGCTACACTAGATGGACCAACAGGAGTGATACAATACTCATTTTGGCTCTGGAGCTTTTTGCTTGACTTAGCAAATATACAAATTATTTTCTAATGATGTTCTTTTATCAGTGTAACTTGTAGCTTAAAATGAGTGCTTCAAACATGCACACTATCTCATTTATTTCTTTAAATTGTTGTGCAGAATAAGAATTGGTATCTTCATTTCACAAATGAGGAATCAAAGACTGAGAGAATGCATGTGACTTGCCAAAGGTCATACATCATACATTAGCTTATTAATATATCATGGTAGGTTCATTTGTAAAAAAAAAATGCCTACAAACATGACAGACTTGGCCTTGTTTTCTGGAATGCTTATTCATTGGCAATAGGTTGGTTTTTCTTTTATATGAATGCAATGTTCTTATTAGCCTAAAATTTGATTTTCATGTTAAGTGCAACAGTTTCCATATAGTTGTTAATGAATGACAGATGCTACTATCTTAGAGTGACCTTAATTTCTTGGTCTCATACTATATAACATTAAACGAGAGTAATAAAGCCCAGGTTTGGGTCTTGTAGGGTAGAAGTTAAGATGGCATGTCAGACAGTAGCATAGTGTCATAATTAAAGGCATGGGTTTTTGAATCTCTTTTGGATTTCAGAGTTCTACCAAATAGTATTACATCTTAAGTATTTAACACCAGATATGTCTTGAGTTCTCTTTGAACTTAGAAGGGCACTTGCTAAATTTCCATCTGAATATATGTAGAGAGAAATCTCATTTATTCTACTTCCACCTTTTCCTGGAGGTTTCTGGAGCGCAGAAGGAACAGAGGATGCCCCAGCAGCCTCCCGTCGACAGCTGACACTGGTAGTCTAGCCGGGCATCTGTGCTCTGTGCACCTGGCTTTTGCCCAGCTCTGCACGTGACACAGACGCTATTCTGCAGCAATGCACTTGATGTCCCACCAGCAGCCATCATTTGCCTCTTCACCATGTGTTGTGAGAGTCCATGTTTACATACTGACAACCTTCCCTTCCTAAGCCAGTGAGAATTATTTAAACCATAATACAGAAGAGGGGTATAGGGTGGGGAACTTGGAACTTCTCAGACAAAAAATGATACCTAAAACTGAACCTTAAAGTGTGAAGGACTTACAAAGTAACCGGGCAGTTTTCTGAAATCAGAATTAGAAATATTACAGGACTGATTAGGACTTTCTGACTCAAAAGCCCATTGGAAACACACAGTTGTTGAGTGTGTATGCACTCTGTTAACCGAGTGATGGGGACTGTTAATGCTCCATGCTAATTAAAATACAATATTCCAAATGAGTTTGCACAACATCATTTTACATGTTGTTTTAATGATGATTTTAAAAAAATGATCAAGAACAAGTGAGCTACTTAATTGTGTAAGTAGGCAGTTTAGCTTTCAGATTCCTGCAGCAGCAAAGTGCAAATACGGGGAAAGAGGGACATGTGTCCCGGTGTGTGGCAGTCAGTGTGTGCCCTCTGTGGGGAGACAGGGCTTCTGGGATACTGCAGTGCTGAGATGCAGGAATATTACTCCGAGTTATCTGGGCACTGGCACAGTTTTCTCTTACTGAGAGAAAGTGGTTTAAGAACCAAATAAGCCTGATGCTTGGAAATAATCATTTAAACGGAAACACCAGTGTGTTGGTATAAGATGAAATGGTAGTAAGCCTGAGTTTAAAGAACAGTGTTGTAGAAATCTCCTCCCTGTCCAGAGATTGTCACTGGTAGCCCCATAGGGAAGCAATGTATAAGGATAAAACCACACAAGGACATGATGAATCTGTTTCTTCTCTGAGTTACCACTTCCTCTGAGTTCTACAGCCTGGGCTAAATAAACTAGGGTTCATGGTAGATATGTGTCTGATCTCTTCCCACCCATGGGAATTCCAGCTGTATTGTGCATTAATTTTATAAATTGCAGTAAATGGGTAAAGCAGCATTTTCAAATGTCTACTTCACTAGTTCATCTTAAACAGTGTAAATATCTTCTGGTTTTCATTGTAATTGTCCTGGCCCTACACAGTTTAATGTAAGCTGGAATAAATTGTTTCAAAATCATGACCAAAATAATATGGTGAGGTTATGAAAAACAGATAAATTAGCCTTACCAAACATGACCTATAATTACTTGTATATGGAGCTATACATATTCTTAACCCCATAGAAGTGGGGACTGGGGCTATCTTATTCCTGGGAGTATTCTCAGAACTTAGCAATATTGTTTCTTCACTAGACTATTAATCAAAGTTTTAAAATAGAATCTTCTAACATGTCCCTTAGTGGGGCTTTAATTATAGAGATATTAACACTGTTTAAAAACATTTGGTTTGCTCCAAAACTTTGCCAAAAAATAATTATTTTTTATTTCACCTTTGATTCCATTTCTCTGACATAGTGTATATGAAAATTATTGTTTTCCAGGCTTGAAACTATTCCAACATGGCTTTCCTTGGACTCTTCTCTTTGCTGGTTCTGCGAAATTTGGCTTTAGGGGCCACTTACCCTGATGAAACCATTGCTGAGTTGTCAGTGAATATGTATAATCATCTTCGAGCCACTGGAGAAGATGAAAATATTCTTTTCTCCCCACTGAGTGTCACCCTTGCAATGGGAATGATGGACCTTGCAGCCCAAGGGTCTACCCTGAAAGAAATCCGTCATTTGATGGGATATGACAACCTGAAAAATGGTAAGTGTGCTGAGGTTGGATTTCTCAAGATGGTTTGACTTTTAACTTTCAACTCAGTTTTTTGTGCCAGAGGCAGCAGTACTATGCAGGATAAGTGATCTCATTGTGATGCGATGACTAGGAGAAACATTAGAAACATAAGGCAGGTGTTCATTACTGGCTCTATCCCCTGGCTGAGTAGATCTAAGAAAACTATATATTATTATTATTACTTAAATAAACATTGCTGTGCAATGGCCCCTCTTCTATTAATTTCCCTTGCATGTTTTACTGCTCCTCCACTCTCCTTGATCTTTCACTGTGTTTGTTTCACCAATAAACATATCCTTTGTCATTTGCAGGTGAAGAATTTTCCCTTTTGAAAGATTTTTCTAACATGGTAACTGTTGAAGAGAGCCAGTATGTGATGAAAATTGCCAGTTCCCTCTTTGTGCAAAATGGATTTCACGTCAATGATGAGTTTTTGAAAATGATGAAAAAATATTTTAATGCAGAAGTAAATCATGTGGACTTCAGTCAAAATATAGCTGTGGCCAACCATATCAATAAGTGGGTGGAGAATAACACAAATAGTATGTCATTTGGTTCCTTTCTTTCTCTAATAGCTTAGTTTTAACTCTCTTCTAATTCTGAAATTATTTGTCCCTGGTTCCTTTTGCATTTTTTTCATGTTTGATAGCATTTAGTTGGATATCTAGTAATTATATTTTATAGATTTTAGAAACATTCTTTATGAATAAACATTTGAGAAAGAAGTTAAATCTTCTGGAATGTATAGATTTCTGGCACTGTTAAATTAATCTGAAATCTGTGCTCTCCAATTAATGAATTTCCTCTGCATAGTAACCTTAAACTATTGTATGAAATTTTGCTAGTTAGATACTAGTTAAAATGGCAGTTGATGACTTTCTTAACAATATGATTAAAGTAGAATAAAGGAGAATTAAAAATCAGTTTAAGGAAGTTTGCTGGTTTTAAAAACACAGAATTTGATTGGAAGTAAATAAAAATTATATAGGATTTCCTTTACAAAGAGCAGCCCATTTTAAACCCAAATAAATGGAGAATTAGAAAGAAATGTATTTATTTCATATTTTATTTCTAATTCATATTTTTCAATATATGAAAGCTTTCCAAAAGTTTCATGTGTTTCCATTTTATTTCCCAATTTTACCATCAAATTGAAATTATCATCTAAAAAAATGAGACCAAATTGAGATTACTATAGCTGTTCATTAAATTAATTCATATCGTCAAAACTCCCAAATGTTTATCTAATAAATTTTATGTTGGAACAGCAACAAAAAAAATCCTGATCACATTCCCTATATCTTGTAATCCCTCAAATGACACAGCAATCTTCTTAAGCACCCATCGAATTGCTATGATTAGTAAAATGAGAGAATACAGAGCAAATTTTGGTCCTATCTTTTTCAACTGTAAGATTGAAATGTAGGGTGAAAGAAACCTTTGTGGGGTTTTTTTTGACATTCAAAGAATAAGTCAAGAATAAGAATCTACCTGCAACAGATTGAATTATTAAAAGCTGTTCATTTCTAAACTCTTTTAAAAACTTTTAGTAATCAACAAAGACACAATGGATTTCAAAATTAACTTGGAAAGGAATGTTGCAAATTAAAGAGATAGGGATCATGAGTTAAATTGGTTTTCATTCGTTTCACCTAGTCAAAAATGGTTGTATTTGGTAGAAAGCCTATTTTAATCATGTACATTGTTCAAGAATAAACTTAGAAACATTTATTGAGTGCTTGCTCTATGTTCAGAGTTTTTCATATATCATTGCAACTAGAAATTGGTGAAGCCTGAGATTTTGTTGTGTGTGGTTCTGTAGTCTGTGCAAGTGTCAAGATACTATTAGTGTTATTCTAGGTGGTGTGGATGTTTAGTTGCCCCTAATCTGTGACTGCATGTGTGTGTATTTGTAACATTTTTCCTTTGAAAGTAAGATATGTTTAATTTTTTATTGTATATCTAGTAATGGTAGACAGCTCTTCTGGATCACTCTATCAAATGGTAGCTTGATAACCTTTTGGTCCCCTTCATCTTCCAATTTAATATTAATTTTCATCCATTCATTTTTTTATCTGACTAGATCTGTTGAAAGATTTGGTATCCCCAAGGGATTTTGACACTGTCACTCACCTGGCCCTCATCAATGCTGTCTATTTCAAGGGAAACTGGAAGTCACAATTTAGACCTGAAAATACTAGAACCTTCTCCTTTACTAAAGATGATGAAAGTGAAGTTCAAATTCCAATGATGTATCAACAAGGAGAATTTTATTATGGTAAGACATTTTAACTTTTATTTTTCTCTTCTTGCAGTATATCAACAAATTTACAAGAAAGAGCATGAAATATTCATTACCCAAATTTCTCGTCAGTCTGGTTTGAGCTAAAATTCAATTTCCTTGGCTCTATTTTCAAAGGCATCTAATTAGATCCTGAGTGAATATGACATGCATCAACAGTTTTCTAATATGTTTCTTTAATTATAAAGCTGAGCATACCTGCAGAGTGGCTTTATTCATGTGAACATACCTGCCCTGGTATAAGAATGTTCTGAGTTACTCCAGAAAGTTGTTGAATTTAGGGTGGTTTTCAGTGAACTGTATGTTCCACCCCGCTCTTGATATGGACTCCTCACCACTTTTTGAATTATAAGCATTCTCTTAAAATTTTGCTTTCAGACTTATGTATGCATGGTCAGACATAATTATTCATTCATAGTTTCATTTATTGAAAGGCTATGATTTATCAATATATTTGTCTCAAATAATGTGTTCTTTGTCAATAATATTGTCTCAGTATCTTTGGCATTCTTTTCAAAGTGTTTAATTGGACTTTTCAGAAGTTTATGTTGTTAATCCTTCCTACACACTATGCTGAACTGTAATAATTTGTCTCATGGGCAGATTTTTAATTATAGGCAAAATACATGTTAGAACTAGTAGTAGTTATTCTATTTGAAAATACATTGTGAAATTCACATACATAATCAAATTAACAGTAAAAATAATAAAGGAAAATACCCACTTATTTGAAAGCTACAATGTTTAATGTGATGTCTAAAGGACCAAGATCAGTTACAGAAAAATAATCATTAACGAAAGCATTACATTAATTAACAGTAAAAATAATAAAGGAAAATACCCACTTATTTGAAAGCTACAATGTTTAATGTGATGTCTAAAGGACCAAGATCAGTTACAGAAAAATAATCATTAACGAAAGCATTACATTTTTTTTTTTTAATGGAGAAAATTTAAAAGTAGTGGATGGACCATTTGTTTTAAAGACTTCTTAATTTTTTTATTAAAGCCTAGTCAATTTAGGCTCATTGAACACAAAGCCAATTACCTAATTTACCCAATTACTTAATTTGGAGGTCTTAATCACCACAAATATACTAGCTAACACTTGCAGAATGCAATAGGCTTCATTTTGTCTGTTCTACCTTGGCTTCAACACTTTTAACTGTGTTAAAACGGAGCACCAGGCATTATGCAGTCAATTTTTCTTTTCTTAGAAATCAGGTGGATATTGGTAAATGTGATTTACATCCATCTTGGATCCAGGGTTTTGTTTTTCTAACTGGGACTTTTCATTGTCTCTAATGATACCCTTTAAATATATATTCCTTTGCAGTATCTCATTTAAAAACAAAAAGTAAGTTTAGGGAACATATTATACAATCAGTATGAAATAATTCTGGGATTCCAAAGTAAATTCTTCAGGGCTGATGACTCATTTGAATTTCAGGGCCTTTTTAAAAATAAACCCTCTTTTTTCTCAGATGCCTGAATTTCTTGGATTCTGTACCCTATTTTGGAAGAAAGTTATAACAAATTGAATTCTTTTATTTGGGCTTTGATATGGGTCTTTTATCACCTTTCTCTTCTTTTTAGGGGAATTTAGTGATGGCTCCAATGAAGCTGGTGGTATCTACCAAGTCCTAGAAATCCCATATGAGGGAGATGAGATAAGCATGATGCTGGTTTTGTCCAGACAGGAAGTTCCACTGGCCGCTCTGGAGCCACTGGTCAAAGCACAGCTGATTGAAGAATGGGCAAACTCCGTGAAGAAGCAAAAAGTGGAAGTGTACCTGCCCAGGTGAGAGGTGCCTGTGTGACTCCCCCGAGAGCTTGGAGGCAGGGATTTCTGGGAAAGTTCTGACCCCGAAATTCTCTTGCCACTGCTTTTGAACTTTAATTAAGTCTTGTGCTTCTGTCCTCTCCCTTCTCACCTCCTCCTCCTCCTCCTCCTCCTTTTTCTCCTCCTGATGCTTCTTCTGCTTCTTTTTTTAAAGTATTTTTTCATACTCATGTGGTTCTGACCAGAGCACAGGCTCACTTACTGCTTTACTCGCTATTTACTGAGACCTAGTTTCAGATATGAGTCAATAGTCTAAGCCTTATTTTAAAAGATTCTTCAATAGATCATCTCCGAATATCATTTGCAATGGCAATCTCCTGCACTTCATTAATATTTAAAGTTGAATATAGCTGGAGGGAAAATAATCTCTGACGTTGTTGGAAGAAGTGCAAGCAAGTCATTGTGCTAGGGGCTGAGACACAATCATAACTAGGCAACAATAAGCTCAGAATTCTCCCTGTGGCTGAAAGAGGAAAAGCCATGCAGGGTCTTGATGTTCTGACTACCATCTACTTCCTCACCCCTACCTCTGACTACTCACCACATCAAACATTTTGCATCATATTACTGTCCATGTGCTTATAATTATGGTAAAGACGTAAGGCTCTTTCATGCCCCTGGGTCTCAATATATATTTTTGCATTGGCCTAAAATGCCCTCCTCACATTTCTTTGCCAGATATAGTCTACTTAGGCTTCAGGGTACAGCACCTAGTTCTTCTAGGAAGCCTTCCAGAAACCATCTGATGGAGCAGGTGACCTCACTTTCGCCTTGTGTATGTACCTTCCTGTTACGACAGTATGTTAATGTTACTGCCCCACAATGCAAATACCTTTTTAGAGGTGTTGCTTTCTTTCTGTATGTTTGTCTGGGATAGAATCAGTTCTGTCCTCCAAGATACAATAAGTATAAAATCAAACCCAGAATTTATTTATTCCACCCTTAAATACCTTAGAAATCTAATCAGGGAGCTAGACCAGTAAGCACAGACAAGTTTATAAACATAATATGTAGATTCTAGGCTAGAAAACAAGATACAAATAAAGAACCAAAAGACACATATGTGTGTGTGTGTGTGTGTGTGTAGTAATAGTAGTAGTAGTAGTAGTAGTAGTAGTAGTAGTAGTAGAAAAATTATGAGAAAATTATACAAATAATAAGATTCTTGAAAAATGTTAAATAAAACACTATTAAAGCTAAATTCCTAAAAACTAACTTATTTATATTTTTTCTAATATTTGGTATTGTCCTTTAAAAGTTACATCTTACATAAATGCTCATTTATTCCAAAAAAGTTAGCTGATGTTTGCTTATATTAATGAAGGGGATTTGGAACTGTAGATATTTTTGGCTAGATATATATATATATACCTTATGTTAATGTTATATATTCATAATATATAACCATATATAATATGTAGCTATATATATCTTAGTTTACATATAAAAACTAAGGTAATCATAACCCAAATGGTTTAGTTATTTTCTTTTTGGCTAAGATACTTAGCTTACATAACTTTCCATGATAATACATTTATGTAGAAAGTTTCCACTATAAATCTAATCTCAAGGAAAGTTAATGTATATCTAATAAAGCCAAGGTTTTCTATATATTATAATTGTCATCTACACAATAGTGGATAGTATACTTACATGGAATATATAAACAATGTATCTTAACTCTAAAAGAAAAAATTGCTTTTAAACATTAATAATTAAATTTAACATAATTGAGACTTAAATTCATCTGGTGACCTTTTATCATTACTTTTGTATTTTACCTTGCATTTTATAAAGAATTCCTTTTGCTATGAAAAATTCAGGAAGTATTAATGCTTCCCTCATTAAATTCCATGGATTAAGTACAACATCTCCAAATGCTTCAGTTCTGCAGGGATGCAAAGTTTCTTAGAATTATTTTAACATAATTCCAAATAAATGCTTAATAAGTATCATATATTCTAATTCAACCATATTCACTAGAAAATATGGCCTCCAGATCCTGTCCACTGAGAAATTGAATGTGGCAGCAGAAGGAAATTAAATTTTCATTTTCTAAGAGATACTCTTCAATTATGAAATAGTTTAGCTTGCTTGTGTATATTAATGCCTGTTTCTAAACTAAGCTCAGTTAATTACTATGCATTCATTTCTCTAGGAGTTCTATGAACTCTCCCTCTGCATGGCTAATGCATAGAGAGGGAGGCTAAATAGCTAGGTAAGCTAAATTTGGTTTCCCTTTTTAAGAGATTGATTGTTTCCAAATACTTATGTGTCAGTAATGATAAGTGGGAAACTATCCACCCTCTCCATTTTACAGCATTAAGATCCATGAAATGTTCAATATGGGTAATGATTTATGTGACCCATTTTGCAAAGGTAAAAATTTTCAAATAGCTGTGTTCTAGGTTCACTCAAGTGTTCATCTTAGATGGTTTGGGTAGCTCTATTCATTTGAAGACAGCACTCTCAAAATTTAACTTTGCATTTTTGTAATTTGACCATATTCTTGTCCTGCTTGATGGGTACTTTTACTTTCTATTATACTAGATTTTACACAGATAGCTTTTAAATGTTTTCCTTAAGAGGTATAGGGTATTGGGGTTGGGAAGGGACAACTACTTTTGTATTTTTCCCATGAACAATAAATATTGTAGGAATCATAAGCTAAACTGAAGTTTTATTTTTATCCAAAATATAAGAATCTATTCAGAAGAAAGTACAGTTGCTATACCTATGTGATATCACCAAATCCAATAAAAACCAGGTTTATACACAGTCAGTCATTCATCTCTAAGACTTAAATGAGATTGCCAGATATTCTTCCAGCAAAAAGTAGTTTGGCATATATGTAGATATATGTAAAATATCTAAAAAACGCTTTAGAATAATGCCTCGTACAAAGTAAGCATTCATATAATTATTACCTATTATCACTATGATTGTTTATTTTTCAGTGGACATTTTCAGCCCTAGTATTTATCTTGTGTTAATCTATGGGTAGCTGTATATATACTTTTCTCTAAGTAGGATTTTTTCAAAACCAGTTCTAATAACACTTTCCTCTTTATTGTATACGATATAAGAAGATTCTTGTAATATCAAAATCAAGCATCTCAATACTTGGAATGCAGATGTATGTGGCTGTAGTGTCTTCCCACTCTTGACTTTAGTAGCCTCAAATTTGTCATTTGGGATCAGAGTGCTAGAAATCAAAGGATGTAAAGTGGTTCTCTATTTTATAATCAGAAACCATTCTGTTATTTTGAAGTGACTGTCTACAAATAAAGCATTTCAGTTTCATGTTCGTAAAAGAAAAACAATACATAAACTATCTGATTTTGTTCTTTAACAAGAGTGCTTTTTATTAGGGCTGTCTACAAAGGGTTTGATTGGTTTCTTAATCATTTGTAAATTACAGACATCTCCTTATATGTAATATATATTTCTTCTTCTCTAACCCTTGCTCCACACATCTATTCAGTCTCCAGTGCTTCTGCCCTCTCCATACCTCTTCACCTTACTCAGAAAGTTGCAAATGTATGATCACATTGCATGCTTTTATTAAAACAGGCATGCCTTTTGGCTTCAGAAAAGGAGTTTTGTGGATTTTTAATTGTGTTTATTTTTATTGAAGTTTTTTGATAAACAATCTTATATTGGTTTCAAATATACAACACAGTGGTTCAACAGTTACCCATATTATTAAGTCCTCACCCCTACTAGTGTGCTTGCTATTTGTCAACAAAGAAAGATGTTACAGAATCATTGACTATATTCTCTATGCTGTACTACTATCCCTGTGACCCACTTATATCATGATTAAGAACTTATGTGCCCTTTTATCCCCAAAGTCTCCCCACCCACCCCAATCCCTTCCCCACAGTAACCACTAGTTACTTCTCTGTCTATGAGTCTACTGCTATTTTGTGGATTTTTATTTTTAAATTCAGTGGGTAAAATATAAATCTGTCTATATATATATATATTTTTTGCTTGTTCATCTTTAAATAAAACATTGTTGGAATTATAGTGATTAGTGGTGAGGCACTTTGCAGTCAGAAAAACCTTAATTCATTTCCTCATTATACCACATACTAGCTGTGTGATTAGGACAAACTGCTTAGATTTTTTGAATTCAGTTTGTTCTTCTGTGGAATAGAGATAATAGTACCTATCTCAGAGAATTGTTTGAGATTATCATAACAATGATTAAATGAGATAGTATGCATAAAAGTATTTGCATAGTGCCTGGCACAGTAAGCCTTCCATATATGAGATGTGATAATGATTATTTATATTAATATTAGTCTATAATAAGAAGACACAGTAAGTAGGTAATAGTTATTTTTCAATAGTTTGGTAGGAAAAAAAGATGAGGAGTGGGTAAGTAGAAATTGTTTACATGCTGTCTTCAACTTTGAATGCTCTCACAGACACCTAAATTTTATTTCATTTCAACATGTGTTTTGCCGTGTCAGATACTACAAATATTAAAACAAAAAAGATAGTAGCTCTGACTAATTTACCATTAAAGTAGAAAGGATTAATAGTTATCTAATCAAATTCCTCCACTACTATTAAAATGCAGATACAACACCTTGACATCCCTAATAATGTGAATATTATACATAACTGCAATATATTAAGTACACTAACAGTATTTGCCCTTTGCTGCATGGGTCCTACATGCCAGCACCATCTAAGACTTTTAGAAATGTTATTTAATTCCCTCAACACTATTATGAAGTAGATATTATTACTGCCATTTTCCACATGCCAAAATTGAGTCTCAAAAAGTAATGAACTTGTCCAAATTCAGTCTGGTGAGATCACCATCCTCACATGAACAGCCAGTCTCAGAAGTATGGAACAAACCAAGTTGCTTTTAGGAAGTAAAAAGAATCCTCTACTGGTACCTTCCTTCACTTCCCTATTTTAGCTGGATGAGGATATACGTTATGTTAGGTGGGTCCATGTTCTTGCTCTGCCACTTACTAGCTGTCTGACCTTGGTCAAGTTATATTTCTGCCACTCAGTTTCTTCTTCTATTAACGGAAGATAATAATAATACCTCCTTCCAAGGACTGTGGTGATATTTAAATTATTCTGTTTTTATACTCTTGGAACAGTTCCTGATATATAGTAAGCTCCATATAAGGGATCAAAACATTAATAATAAAGCACACACACAAAACACCTTCATCAAGACATCAAATGTATTCTGGGACATTCCGTATTTTCCTACTCAACTCCTTTTTTTTCACCATCAATGTTTGCTTGTAGAAAACAAAACAAACAATGTTGAGTCCAAGTTAAAGTATAAGTTAAAGTTCAGTACTTAGTTTCATATGTTCGCTACATATTTACTGCTTATATACTTACTATATATTTTCCATAAACCGGGGCCTGCTAAAACTATTTTCCCCAATCATTCCTTCTGGTGTTGAGTCTTGTTTACAGCAATCATTCCCTTGTCACCAGACATCAGAAATGATGCTATGTGATGTTTAGTGACTATCATAGACTTAGATCTTTTCAGGACACAGCCCATTGCCTAAAAACTTGTATTTATGATCTGTGCTGATAGGGAGGCAACATCTTAGAAGAAAAGAAACGTTCAGTTCTAACCAGTTGTTTTCACTTTTTATAAAAAGCCAATAAAAACCTTTACTTTTAAGAATGCATTTGTTTGTTCATGCAGCCATCTTGTTCCATATCATTCACTAGAAATATGTGTGACACAATTCATTGGTATGGGAGAAATTCTATAATAGGATCAATCTGGTTTCCTGTGGAAACCTTTTTTTAAAAAAAATATTCTGTTTATGGTCACTGTACTTATTTTCATTTAAGTTTTTAAATAATGTTTCATTTCTTAGAAAAGTGATGGAAATTTATATGTAATAATTCATAAAGTCCATTAGAACAAAAAATGTTACCCTTTGTTTAAAATAATCTCTCTTGTAATTGTGAAGATTATATTTGTAATCCATTGATTAACAGTTTTTCTGTAATGCTAGCATAACAGGTTTATGTCCCAGAGGTGAATGTAACGATGATAATACGTATTTTTTAACACAATAGCTTTTATGTTTCCTTCTCTGAGGGTATGCAGGTGAAATGCTGGATTGCACAGCAAAACTTGGCTCTTACGTAATCCCTTCCATAGGGTGGACGTTGAGCAGGATACTAAGAAGAGAATGGTAAATGCATGATGAGTCATTACCAGCTTAAAAAATCAAATATATTCCTTACTAGGTTGAAGCTATTCATTTGCAAGTTTTACATATTATTATGTTGAGAATTCTTGATCTCAAAATTCGTTTATTCTACAGTATATTATAGTTTTGTGCCCATATAATGTATTTTTCTTACTTAATAATTTAACACTATTCTCTTTGCTGTCCCCTCTTTTTACAAGCACAATCAAATACTACTTGCAGTCAAAGCCAGTTTTTGAAAATTTGCCCTTAAAATCAACATATCTAAAAAAAAAATGAGAAAACTAAAGAAAAAGAAAATCAGTATATCTAACATTTTATTATTGTTCCAGGTAACAAGGTGCTGTAACTAAATATTTTTAAAGTGCTGTAACTAAATACTTTTTCTCCTATGCATTCTCCAGGTTCACTGTGGAACAAGAAATTGATTTGAAAGATGTTTTGAAGGCTCTTGGAATAACTGAAGTTTTCATCAAAAATGCAAATTTGACAACCTTGTCTGGTAGGAAATAAACATCAATTTTTAAAAGAAATGTCTTTTCAAAATGCTTTTTAAAATGATGACATTGAATCCTCTATTTGTGATGGGGTCCTGAGAAATATATAGGTATTACTTGCTGGATAAATATAACAAATACGTTTAACTCCTACAAGCAAAACTGTGAATACAGTCTTACCATTAAGTTTATTTTATTCTAGCTCATGCCTTATCTCTAATTGTAGATTATACTCTCCAGAAGACCTGTCTTCTACATCTTTAAATTCCCCATCACATCTGCCACAATACTTTGTAGAGTAGATCATCAATAAATGTACTGATTTAATAGTTATATAAATAAATCATATAGGAATGTCATAATAATTTATATAGGAAAGAAAGAAGGAAGCAAGCACAAATGAGTACCTGCTGTGAGAACTAGATACTCTCTAAAACAACACCTGGTGAGATGATGTAAATATTATCCTAAATCTTCAATAAAAAACAGTGGTTTTGAAGAAGTAGCTTTAAAATATGCCTGTCACATTGGGCATTGAGTAATTTATTTTAAGTATCCTAAAGGGAAACAAATCCAGTTGAATTCTTTGATTCAGATGCCCTAATTTGTTCAGGGTAAAAAAAAAATCATAACATATTAATAACATTAAAGTACTTAAAACATGTAAAATGCTTTCAGAAATATTTTTAAGCAGTTACCCCTAAGACATTTACCATTGAAATAAGGTACCTGGCAGTTTGAGACTTAATTAGCTTTAAATAATGGTTATTTCCTATCATTTCTATAGGCTAAGGAAAATAATACAATGTGTTTTCTAATGAGATAAAGGCATATGTAAATCTATGTATATATATATATATATGTCAAGATAAAAGAAACTCAACTTAAGTCTTCTTTATACGCAGTTTATTGAACACAGTTCTCCCACTAGAGATTGCTGAGGTGACAGAAGATTCCTTCTCAGTTCATGTATTATAGGAGAGAATCTAGAGTTCCTTTCCTGTTACAGGATATTAAAAAATCAAGCTGACCAAAAAAGAGCCTGTAAGCCTGGAGTGTGAGGGCCTGGATTAGAATCAGGGAAATGGATGTCTCCACCTCTGAAACTGCATATAGGGTGTGTGTGTGTGTGTGTGTGTGTGTGTGTGTGTGTG